AGAGAGAGAGAGAGAGAGAGAGAGAGAGAGAGAGAGAGAGAGAGAGAGAGAGAGAGAGAGAGAGAGAGAGAGAGAGAGAGAGAGAGACGAAAGAAAAGACCAAACACCGCAGACCATGCACGAGTCAAGAATCAAAATCGTCATATTCTCCCGAGCACAAAACGAGGGTACACGAATGAAAGTCGACAAAGCTCCACCCTCGACACTGCCGCCGCAGTGTACAGCGTGACTCGACGATTCCGTTTCGGTCGGTCGCCACCGGGCCTCTTCAGGAGTCATTGTGGCTCAAAGACTCGACGGTCTACAGAGACTAAATACCTACCAGATGCCTACGGCCGACGGCTACAGAATAGACCACCTTCAAACAATAACAGATCAGACCACCTGACCAACTCGAAAAATCCAGAAGTAATCAGGAAGGTACCGCCACACAGGAAGGCCCAAGTACGCTACCCTTCAAAAGGACCATATCGAACCGTCAAAAAGAGCCCTTACGAACCGGCCCCTAGCATACGCCGCCACACAGGAAGGCCCAATTGAGCTACCCTTCAAAAGGATCCTACCAAACCGTCAAAAGAAATCCTTATGATCGGGCCCCTAGCATACACTGCCTCAAAGAGGGGAAAACAATCTCCCCCAATGCGTAAACATTCTGGCGCTCATATTCCAAATGCCACCAAAGCGCCGGGAAAAACAATCCATAGCCTTGTTAAACAACTCATCTGGATAACGTCGGTACCAGAACTCAACCTTCAAAGCAAACAGGAAGGCTGCCTCGGCCCCCGCCAAACTAGTCAGACTTCGATAGCGATGAAGAAAGGAGTAGATTACAGCCTTCTTCTGCTGCCTAGAAGAGAAAGAGCAGAAGTCTTGAATGGCCTGAAAGACGATACCTTGATGGAAAATAGCCTGGAGGTTGCGATGCATAGCCATGCACCCAACAGAACGCCCTCCTAACAAACAGACAACACACCCAAGAAGTCCCAAGAGTCACCTTCACTGGTTGATTTTAATATCAGCCTCGGGTCATAGCATTGCTTGAAACGTTGAATCAAGATCTCCGCCCTATATCTAGATTGCATGTCAATTGCTTGAATCTCACAAATACCGAAATATCATCAACCAATCGAATGCTAGATAAAAGCTTGCGATGACCACCAAGAGACAGCAGAAAGTGGAATTCATAGAAGGAACACAACAAACACGCCAGAGCCGGGCTGGATGCTTTGCCCATTGGAATACCGACAACCTACTGGAGGAAAACCCCTCCAACTTCCATAAAGGTATATGCCAAATCATACTGCACAAACTCCACAATCTCAACAAAAGAAACACGAACGTAACCTTCATTTGTGTGTCCAAACCGAAGTTTAGCCCCTTTGCCCCTTCTCTTTACCATCTGTGAAACCGCGCGTTCATTGAACGCGTGTTTTTCGTTCAGAAATTGAACGGAATGCACGCGCGTTCAATGAACGGGACCGAACGCGGAGTTCAATTCCGCGCGGAAAAAAAAAAAAAAAAAAAAAAAA